TACTTTATGAGAAATGACCCATACAAAGCTCATTTTGAAGAGGATGCAATTTCCAACAATCCATCTTCACACCCCAAGATCAAGAAACGCACTCACAAAAAGTTACAAATTTGGACATTATAGGTCATTTTTGAAAGTCAACAAAAACACCTTTTTTGCCAAAGCTTATAACTTTAGCATGGAAGATCAAAATGCGATGAGAAAAAAAGTGTTGGTTAGAGGACATCTCAAGGTTTCTAAAAAGTCAAAGAACACCTCCAAAAGTGCTGAATTGAGGAAGTTATGCATTGTCGAAGTTGGGCATTTTTTAAAATTTGCCAAAAGTTAACTATCCTCAAAACTCCAATTTTTGACAAAAGGGCCCACTTTTTTCCACTTGATATAGTCTTGTCATGCCACACACGTGTCCCATATTTGATTTCATGGCCATTTATTTATTTTTCTATTTTATTTAATTTTTAACGATTTAATTCATTTTTAATCAATATTAAATCAAATAAAATCTAAAAATTGATGAAATCATATCTTTGTGATTGGTACAACTTTCAATTGTCATCATGAATCAAATCAAACTCGTATCATGGCTTTTCATGCATAAAAAATCAGATTTGGCCTATATTTGGAAACTTGATAATGGTGATCATATCAAATCTCAAAACCTTGAATGCACTTGGATAAAAGCCCAACTCTTGACCTAATTCACTTCTAATATACATGTGCAAGCAAGCCATACCAAGAACACGCACAGGACACTGCTGAAATGGCCAGAACAAGTTTGTGAAAAAGCTTGAAAAGTGGGAGATCAAAAACAACATTGGAGCACGATTCAGTCCAAGAGCTTGACATAGTTCTCTTCCCTGACATCCAGTGAAGCCAAAGGGATCAAAATCCAGCCCTAAGACAGCCTGAAACTCACTGTAAGTATCCACGAACCTTGCTCTGAACATGATATCGTGAAATCATTGTCTTGCATCCTCTTGCCAATTTTCTTGTACATTCATACTGGCCATTCAATTTCCAATGATTCTGTAATATTTAATTTCATTTTCATAGCTTATAACCCCGTATCCAGAGCTAGGCTTCTTGTTCTTGATTTTTGGGTATTTTTTATGTAGGATAAATTGAGGCTAATGATAGGTATAGGAATGATCAGGGGAGAGAGACGAATGCAATGATGGTTTCCATAGGCATTTATATGGCCCGTAGCTCTTGATAGGATGATGCCATGGATTTAGTTGCGGACTAAAATTCGCAGGTAAACGAACCAGTCTTCGTTGAAAAAGACGAAGACGCGGATTAGCATGATTGGTCCATTCAAACAAATTGCGCGTTTTTTTTATATTTCCAGACATAATTAATTGTTTATCATATAATGTTTGTTGTACATTCCACTACCAAAGAAACAACGCAGTAGAGTTAGCAAGGCAGGCGTGTCATTGAGCATTGGGACCTGGGTTCGAATCCCAGGTCCCCCAAAACACTTTATTTGTTTTTTCTTCAGGTATTCATGTTCACTTCTCAAAGGATGGTCCATCATGCACCTCAAAAGATCCACTTGCCAGATGGATTTCAGATCAGATCCAGGGGCCCAGATTGCACGCCCATCATACTCCCTGATCAAAGGCATGCATTGGATTCCAAAAGTCCAACAAGGCTGGATGTTCTGGGCCTGGGAATTGCCATTCAAATACCCTCTTCAGGCCCACACCCCCTTGAGTTTGTTCCTTTTTTATTTTATTTTCATTATTTTTCTATTTCTATTTTATTATTATTATTATCTTAATTAATTAATTAACCAATTAACTTTTTCATTAAAAAAATCAGAAACAACAAAAATAATATTTTTATTAATTCCATTAATTTTATTATTTATTTTTGTAAATAACAATTAATTAATTTATTTAGTTTAATTAGGTACAATTTTAATATCTTTTGCATTAAATTAAAATTAATATAGAATTAGGATTTTTAATACTTTTTAATCATTCTTATTTTATTTCCTTAATTAAAATAAAAACCCAAAAATATTTTCATTTAATTAATTAATTCAATTATTAATTTAGACTAATCTTTAATTCAAAAATAACAAAAATATGCTTTATTTAATATAAAAAAATGGGGTCAAAACCCTAAAAACACTCTGATTTAATTTTCTCGCGCGCGTATTATTTTTTATCCATATTTCAATATTGTAACTGCTCCGGGAATGTAATAGTTTTTAACTTAGGACTTTATTTATTTATTTATCGCTTTCATTTACTTTTCGCAATTTAATTTTAAAGGGTTTGTCTTTGGCGATGTAAATACCTGACGCCTTGTAATAGCTTAGATTTATTTTCCGCAATTTAACTTCCGCAATCATTAACTGTTAGATATTTGAATAATAGGCAATGCATGGCAAGATCAACTTTTAATTTAAAATCAACAGTAGCTCACCATTAACATGTACAAAGATAAATAACTGAAAAACGATACACTCGCACATGCCACTCTTAGGGTACACCTCACTTGGTTGCCTCGAATGTGGTCATTGAGTATAGGAAGTTGTAGAAGTCGCCCTCTTGTCCAAAGATCAAAGTTGCCTCGAAACGGTTGCCTCGGATAAAATGATCTAAGACATTAGGGTTACCGCTAAGGCGTCCTAACATTGCTTTAGTGACCACACGTCCCTTAATCGAATTGACCTGAAAACTCCAACGACGATGCTACCTACTCCTCAATAGTGGGATAGCATTGTCTAAAGGACACTTGTACAGATTAATTCCTTTTTGAGTAGGTAGATGGTTCTTAAGTACTTGCTCCTTTTAAAACAAAACAAAACTTTTCGCACTTACACTCTCTTCAAAAACAAAACTCTTTTCAAACCCACAAACACAAAGAAAAGCAAACTTTTGAAAACATAATGAGCAAGTACCTAGGAGCCCGTGGATAACCACATATAGAAAGGGTGCTGACACCTTCCCTTTCTATAATCTACCTCCCGAACCCGAGAAATATCTCAAAAAGGAATTTTTCTGTGCTTTTGTCCTTTCCTTGTTGGATAAAATAAAAGACGGTGGCGACTCTTGCTTACCGCGACATTTTGCGAAAACAAACGCAAACGTGAACCAGCATTCCAAAACAGTCAGTTCTATTCCCACCGATCACAGTGATCGAAACGCAAAACATCAAGTCAATTCTCCCACCGCATCACACCCTCGGTTAAACAATATCATCACGGTCCTTTTCGAATAAAGATCATTATCCTTCGATGACCCTTCGAGTTTCCTACAAAATTATCTAGTCCCTTCGATGACCCTACAAGAAAAATGATGATAGTCCCTTCGAATTGCTAAAGTATCCTTACATGTTTCCTTCTATGACCATACGACGACCCTACGCCCGTCCCTTCACATCCAATAGATAGGGCTACCTACCAACTAATGGTACGGATAACACTATCTCTAAAGGATAAGGAAAAGAATAAGAATGACCTTGAGTGGGTAAGAACTTTTAATCGCTTGCTCACAGCCCTTTTCTAAAAAATAAACATTTCACACATCACCTTTTCAAAACAAATATTTTCAAACACTTTGTACGTGTTCTTGAGGACTGATACAAGAATCATTACAAAGTTAGTCATACTTTGGCTTTTTAAAAATATTTTCAAATCACACACACAAAGCAAATTTCAAAAAGTGAGTTAGCGATTAAGAGCCCGTAGATAACTATAGATGAAAAGGGTGCTAACACCTTCCCTTTTCATAACTTACCCCCCAAACTCAAAATCTATCAAGGTTTTTCCTATTCTTTTCAGCGTTTCCTTATATTGGATAAAAGAAAAGTCGGTGGTGACTCTTACTAACCGCAACATTTGTGATAAAACACTAAAAAGTCAGTTTTCCCACCGTATTACAGAACTGGTGACTCTGTTGGGGACAATTTTAAAAGAGGGGTTACCTTAAGAGTTTTAGATCACTTTACTTGCTTAAATTATGTGCTTTGTCTGCTTTAACTTTAAGGGCTTTCTTGGATTTATTATTGAAAGGTCCTACACCTAGATCTAGAGATGCCTTAGGTAAGTAGCAATAGATCATAAAAATTGTACGATGTAGACCGATATGGTTAATATGATGGCTACATTTAGTGTGACACTTTGGTTTGTACTAATGTTCCTTGAGTCAGTCAAGAATAACATTAGGCTTCCGCGTGGTGTCGTTAACACTAATTTGATTTTAGAACCTTAATTGACCCATCTTGACCATTAGAAAGTAGTGAGATAGTCAGCTTTGGTGCAGTCTGAGGCTGGTTGATACTCAAAGCCACGCTCATTGAGATTCGATTCTCGGGATGTTTTGGTGGCAAATCAGTTGTCGTGCTAAAATAAAGCCTGTGGTAAAGATCGGTGATATGAGACTCCTAGAACCCGGCTACTATTTTTAGGACAGGTTGAGAAAACTTAACTTCAATAGAGAAGGGTACTTACCTATGGACTTCATGCGAACTTTTAAACCTAAGGCTACTTGTGTGACTTGTTTGTATTCACTATCTAACAATTTGAATTCCTCGCAGGATTTGTTTGTATAAACTCCTTTGTTCTCATCACCTTACGCTTTTGCTTAGTGCATAGCATACACATCATGTCATTTCATAACATAGCACTGTTACTAACCATTTCAAGGATCTTAGGGATTTATGGTGCAATATTTGATGGATTGTTATAATCCAAATTTCTATCAAGGGACAAGAGGATTTATTTTCCTCTAGCCAGATGTCGTCAAGATCAAAGTGAATTTTCTTGAGTCAAAGGCTATGACCCACTTAATATGGTGAGCTTGATTCTTACGGAAGGACATTCAAAGATGAAAACTTAAAGTTCTTCAGACAAAGATGCAACTAAATTCAATTTCTAATGTTTTAAACTAGATTCCCTAAAGATCCTTGAAAACATTGCATACGCATCTACATAACATGTCATTGTATAACAGGTTTCTAAGACAGGTTTCTCATCTCCTTGTTGTTTATTTCAGCAGAAATGACTCTCGAACAAAAGCATAACCACATATAGCATTATAAGTTAACACAACATCCACTACATTTTGCAAAGTGTTTGTTCCCCAAGACACAGAAGGCAAATAATTTTCCATTTTTTCAACTTCCGTAAGAACATTGTTCATTGCATTAGACAACCCTTCAACACATTGAACAACTTGGTCACTAAGTCCACCGTTTATAGTAGCTAAAGTTTTTAATTTTGGAATAAAATCCATAAATTCTTTAGCATAAGTTAGTTTAGCAATGGTTGTGATTATTGCATCTTGAGCTTGTTGTTGGTATTGATGTTCTAGGTCTCCAATATTGGTTTCCATTTTGGAAGATTTTTTGGATGGCTCGTTTAATTGGCTAGTACTAGTTACACATAATATTGAAGCTATTAATACCAATGCTACTAAGGGAATTTTATGTGTCATTGTTAATATGATATTGATTTTGGTCTGAGTAATTGGGAAATTGCAATGTGATGAATTGAATTGTTGAAGGTGTAAAGATTCATTTATACATAGTACTAATAAAATTGTTGTTTGAACGGTTAAGAGGTGCTTTCTGCATGCACCGTAGAATTTTTTGAGTATAAAACATGTTAATTGATAATGCATGCTTCCCCATACAACTAGCCAAGATGTTTATGTTAGCAAGTTGTGATACGGTGGGAGAATTGACTTGGGATTTTGCGTTTGTGTTTGCAAATGTTTTAGTTTAGCAAGAGTCACCACCGACTTTTTATTTTATCCTAAGGAAAGGTCAAAAAGTACAGGAAAGACCTTTGAGATGTTTTCTTGGGTTCGGGGAGTAGATTATAGAAAGGGAAGGTATTAACACCCTTTCTATCCATGGTTATCCATGGGCTCTTAGTTACTTGTTTAGATCACTTGCTTTACTTTTCAATTGTTTGAAATGGTGCTCTTCAATTGTTTAAAATGGTGCTTTGTGTGTGATTTTGAAAGATCTTTTGAAAAGAGGCCATCTTTGTGGCGACCTTTGTAATGATTCTTGTTTGAATGTATACAAAGGTATTTTTGTCTTTTGAAAAGTTTCCAATGTTTCGAAAGTTGTTTTGAAATTGTTTTTGAAGTTGTGTTGTGAAGTGTGTTTTGAAGATAGCAAGGATGTTTTGCAAACTTTTAATCAAGTAACTAAGAGCTATCTACCCTATTTTACTCAAAGATCTTTCTTATGTTTTTAACCCTTTTAAAGGTGTTGTTTCACCATTGTGTTTGATGAATAACCTTGTGTTAGCATGTTAAACGGGACAGACGCGGGTTATCGTATAGACCATGATAGCAATTGTGTCAAGTATTTTTGGCAATTTTCTTGAGGGACTTGATCATTTTGTTTAGGCAACTCAGATAGCGTCATCGAGGGACTATGATCTTTGTTTTGTTTTTGTTTTGCCAAAGTACTTGACATGCATACCATGGCACATTTTTTAAGGCAACAAGTGGATTGTAACCCTAAGGGTGCAAGTGTGCATTGTGTTTGTTTTTCATGCATTTTTGTCTTTGATTAGGTCAAACTATTTGTTGATTTGGATTTTTGCATACAAACCCTAATTCTAATCATGGCATATTTGAAAGCGTACAAGTGCGAGAATTTAAATTCTAAGCTATTACAACATAATATAGGGAGGGGCGTACAAATTTGAATAGGGGATTATTTTACAAGAAATTAAACCCTAAATTATTACAACCAAATTGAATTTGCAAGGCATAATATTTAAATGTACAATATTTAAATAAAAATAAAATATTAGATAAAATGTATTATGCAAAAAAAGTTTTTTATGTATGTAAAGAATTTTCAATGGGAACAAATGTAAAGAAATAAATAAAATAAAAAAGTTAATTTAATTATTTTTAGGGTAAACCCTAATTCCTTAAAGAAATAGTATTATTTATTATTTATGTACAAAAATGTATCAATATGTACAAAAAATAAAAGTATATTAAAAAAGTATTTTTTTAGTATAAAATATCAATAGAAATAAAATGTATTATTTTTGTGTTTTTATTCTATGTTTTTAATAAAATAAAGTATATATATATATATATATATATATATATATATATATATATATATATATATATATATATATATATATATATATATATATATATATATATATATATATATATATATATATATATATATATATATATATATATATATATATATATATATATATATATATATATATATATATATATATTAAGTGTGTAAAAAATAAAATAAATTATTTACAAAAATGTATATATTTCAAGAAAATATTTTCAAATGTGAATAAAAATAATAAATGAAAATAAAAGTATTTTTTTACATTATTTTTAAGTTTAAACAAAATAATATAAAGTATTCAAACATTTCAATGTTGGAAATAATTAAAATAAATACCAAAAAAATGTAAAAATTTATGTAAATATTTTTTTAGGCATTTTTTATATTTGGAAATAAAATAATAAAGTCAGAAATGAAATTAAAATGCAAAAATAATAAATATACAAAGAAATGGGCCAGGGGGTGTGATACTGAAAATGGGGGTGTTAAAAGCAGGAAATAGCCAGGCCCAGCCCAGCTACTTCATCTTCTTCCTCTGTTCAAACAAACAACACGCGCCTTCTGTGTACAAACTGGTAACTCCTGGAAACGTGATCCTTTGACAAAACTCAAAACATGAAACTTGTAGAGCATCAAACAACGATTTCAACCATATAAAACATTAAATCTAACTCTCAAAGACCAGAGAGAATTTCTCTGGCCCTAATTTCTAACCTAGTTTTTTCAGAAAGTTCATGGATGAAATTCTCCTAACACAATTAATATAAATGAAAACTAAGCACATGTATGGTTTCAGGGCAATGAGTACAACATCTTTTATTCATAAACCTAAGTCTAAATGTTCCTAAATAGAGAGATAGAAGTTCATGAAATACCTGTTTCAGTTGAGTTCGAGTTGGACAATGCAACAACTTTCAATGGGGCCTGAGCTTCTTTTGAGCTTGCTTGATGTCCCCTGAACCTTTCCTAATGCTTAGTTTGTTTTGAAGTGACCTGAATCGTGCTACAGAACTCAACCTGCAAAGCTTCCAAACAAAAATGGTGATGTGTGTAAATGGAGTTACAGCAACTTGTGAATGGTCTGGACAGCTTAGGTATATTGTTTGGAATGTGTTTGAAGTGATTTTGGATAAAACGCACGAGGGGATTTGATTGTGTCTTGTGATTTGCAGAACTGGCCCTGTTTTGCAAGAAAATGTGGTTTTTGAGTATGAGGAGGTTTGAGAGGTTAAAGGCTCGTGCTTCTGGCTTGCAAGGATGTGGAAAACTTGTTTGAAAACTTTGCTTTAATTCAATATATCAGATGTGTGAGTTATGAGCTTTTGGCCATTTGACTTGTTTTAAAAGCAAAGTTGGAAGTGAAGTGTGATAGGCCTGTACAGGATATCTCCAAGCATGCACCAACTTCTTGTACCTTTTCCTAAGTTTGTGGAACTTGTTTGCTGCCAAGAAAGAAGTTCAAAGCTCAAGAAAGACAACTTTGCAAAAGTTATGCTTTATGAAAATGGAAGTGTGATCTTTATGCCCAAAATGGAATTATTCAATGTACAATGCTCCCTTGATCAGGACAACGCCTCTAACCAATGTATTTGCATTCAATTTTTGAGTGTTGAAGGGTTTAGAGACCTGTAATTATGTACTAAGCTAGTTTGGTCAGATTTGCAACTTGGTATGAACATGTATTGGCCATGGTTACATAGTGAGTTTTTGCCAACTTCAAGCATTCGATTCTCCCTAACCACAAAGGTGTTTGAGGAGTTCTTCGACAATTTGGAAATCTTGCAACATGTACTATAATCCATATTTGAAAATTCAACTTAATACTCCAAGTGGAACTATGTGAAAAATGGCAAAGAAGATGGGTCAAAAATCCTGCCTAAACTAGGGCAAAATTTCTCTAAGTTAAAAGTTTTAGGTACCCTTGTTCCAAAAATCATAACTTGAGATCCAAGCTTCTTTTGAGAAAACTTTGTGAATCAAAGTTTTAGACTTTGTGATGGACTACAACTTTCATGTTGTAAGTTTTGTTTGAATCCATTTGCATCTTTGTGAAACTGTGGGGCAAAGTTAGGAAAAATTTAGAAAATTTCATAACTTAAAAAATTTCTAAGTTATGAATTTTTTCAATTTTAAACCCTAATTTGTAATTTTGGGTTTCTTGATGAACAAGTTTCATAATTTGACATGTCTTGATGAAAAATGACTCTTGGCACTTGATTTTGACCAAAAAGTCAAAGTTTGACTTTTCAGTGTACAGTCAAATTTTGATCAGTTGACTGAAAAATTCATTTGTCAATCCTATGCATTTGAGACCTTTTGAACTTGTTGAATGGGTCAAGATGATGTCATTGAGTCCTTGAGTCCATGGTTGATCTTGATTTGCCATTGGCTAGGTCAAATAGTCAAAAATTGCCTTTGTACAGTCAAAACCCTAAAAATGACCATTTTGCCCTTTTGGTGATCTGATCAAATTTCTTATGGAATTGTGATCCAAACTTGATCAAATGGTTCATATGAGTTAATAATGTTGATGTGGGTCAAAATTCATGAGGTTTGACTGTCAATTGGCCACAGTTGACTTTTTCCCCAATACAATTGATTTCTAGGTCAACTGTCCAATTGACTGGGCAAAAATTTGATTCAGGGCTTGAAACTTGGTATGGACAAACGTGTGAGTCCAACATGAAGTATGAAAGTCACTTTGTGAATTGTAGGTCAAAAAATACCTGTGCAAAGTCAAACCCTAATTTAGGTCAACAGTGCAAGGAGGTGTCTTGAGTAGAGCAAACCCTAGCTTGATCTTGAGTTCCAAGAGTCTTGTGATGAGAAATGTTGATGAAATGGGAGGGAAAATTTTAGGGTACAACAGTTTCCCCTGTTCAATCTTCTTGAACCTGAAGAGTTAGATTGGCAAGTTTGCCTTTCGCGACTCGAAGGTAAAAGAGGATTGGACACTAGAGTGCCCGTAAATTTGCACTCGTCAAAATATAGCTGAGGAAATGGGCTTAAAGATGCCATTTGGAGATGGTAGAATCTTTCTGGAGATGGGCTTAAAGATGCCATCCAAGAATGTTTGTTGAATTGTAATGTTGTAGGTCAGAAGAATGAGCATAAAAATGGTATCCGTGTCTGGAATGCATTTGAACTGTATCTGGAAACTGAGTCTGTATGAGCAAAAGAATGGCGTCCGTGTCTGGGGCGTATCTGAGCTGTAACCGTATTTGAACTTTGAATGAATATCAGAATGACTGCCGTGTCTGGAGTGTATCTGTATTGTATCTGAAGTTGAGATTTGTATGAGTAGCAGAATGACTTCCGTGTCTGGAGTGTATCTGAGACTGTAACTGGGATCTGAATA